TATATCGGGTGCATTATGGGTAATGGACTCGCGGGATTCAAAGCGGGATTCAAAGTACCAAAGCGTTGGCTGGCGTTTTGTTTAAAGACAAATTACCTTTCAAAACAAACACCGCTTGTTCCATGTTGGGAACCCTGTGGACTGTATGCGAGAAAAATCTCGATTTTGGATCACGGCGTCTTTCCAGCTCGGTAAGTAAAGCAAAACAGAACTAAACTATTTCTTTCGTATTTCATTATGTAAATACTGTATATTTAACTCTTGCTTACGTCCTTGGGAACGTAATGCATGGTGATAATAGCTCAATATTCGGCTCTGGCAGCTGTAGCCTGCATAGCAGGCGTTCTTTTGCTCGTTACAATTTTCCAAAGTTCCCCCGACACCCTGGTTTTTTCCTTTGCTCGGTTTCAATTCTCGCTCGTTCCAATTTTCCAAAGTTCCCCCGATACCCCGGATTTTTCCCCAAATCCACAAGATGGTTATGGCAGATGTAGAAGAGCGTTCTGCAAAAGACGAGTGACTCAAAACATTCGCGAGAAAACTGGCTGAGTGAGATTACAAAAGTAACACACGTAAACCAGGATTTCAAGAGACGAATTAAAAATGATAAAGTCTTCACAAGTGAGAGGACTTTGCTCCCGAAGACATTGAAGTATGTATAAGCCGATTAAACGATCGATGCGTCTGCATGTTGTGTTTACATCGTTGCTACTACACTGTAGGGCAAACTATAAACTTAATAATAAAAAAACTGAATCGAAATTTTTTATTTTGATTAATATTGGTATTGTTGATGAATGTTTTCAAGTATCTTGGTGCCGGCTGTTGGTAAAATGTGGTCTTTCGTATATCCGCAACACTTCACTTACATTATGTAACGACTAGTTATATATCTTTGGCTTCTATATTGTTGGAGTGTTAAACATTGTTTTGCGAAATATATGTTTTCTTTTATATATTTTTCGTGTTGCGTGACAGTAATTAATATGTTTACGATTCATATTTTCACTTACGTCTTTTCCGGGAAATTTCCCAAGAGCTCAGTTCTGTCTGAGGCAAACGGCCGAACAACAAGACATTTTGAAGACTGTTTTGAACGGTTAAAATGGACGACCCATCTTCCTTTGAAGTCGAATTGGACGAAGAGGAAGCTAATAGGAGTATATTAGTATTGGATGTGCCTGAAAATGTTTCTCCTAGATATGTTGTTATTCACTTTCAAAAGTTAAGTAATGGCGGAGGCGAAGTTGTGAATATTGAAGGCCATGGCAATGAACACCGTTCGTCTGTCGTTATAACATTTGAAGATCCTTCAAGTAAGATCATTTTATTATTTTTGGGGGGTGGGGTCTTTAATTAATGATAATGTTTGGCTTTTAAGAGGCGTTAATTCTACAAAAAAAGGATACAATTTTAAGGAGTCCCTTCGAGAAATCAGTTTCGCCCCCAACTAATTAATATGCAAGGTCACGCTAGGGTCAAGCTGTTTACAAATTCTTATTAGTTTTTTCTCCACACACTAAACTGTCTATTTTTTAAAAGCTGGATTAAATATGACTGCATAACATTCCATTGGAAAGCTCTCTTGCTAAAGGAAAATTATGAAATCGTTTACCGGCGTTTGCATTGCTACGCGGCCACCCAAGACAAAAATCGCGACGTGCACTTTGCAATAGACTGCCGTCAATCAAACACGTTGACGCCATTTACACGCATGTGTAATTCAAAAGGCGCCAAAACGGCCGATCCAAACGCGTGTAAATGACGTCAACTTGTTTGATTGACGGCAGTCTATTGCAAAGTGCACGTCGCGATTTTTGTGTGGGGTGGCCGCGTAGCAATGCAAACGCCGGTAAAACTTTGTTTACAGCATATCGAGCGACCAATTACTTCTACTTTATAGCTTAAGCTTACAGTAATTTTGAAATAACTTTTTTGAATTTTTTTATTTTTTCAAGTAAAGTCATATTATATCAAATTTGTAACGCTTACCACAGAGTTACAGAATGTACTTCATCGATTACGATAGACACTCTCCTTCATTTCTGTCCCCAGTCCCCCTCCCTGGAGAGCCTCGTTAGCAGGCTATACAGATTCGTTATCACCGAACTGAACTTTTGCGATCGTCCCGTTGACAATCATGTTTTGTTTGCTGGATCATTTTGGAATATTGTACTAATATATATTAGTACCAAATAGTTATTGCTCTTGGTTGGAAGTTTGTACTAATATATATTTAATTAAAGGACCGATCGTTTATTACTTCCCAGGTGGGGGCGGTGAAAATA